GCTTTCAAAACTTTTACATCCATATTTCATCCAAAAATATAAAGTCGCGGACGCCAAATTTATTATGTTGCAACTCTCAGAGATACAACGTGCAGGTTACAAATTAAATAATCACAGCAGGGATTATTAATATAAAGATTTAATATGGATATCTCACAAAGCTGAAAAACGTTACATTACTCTATCAAGTGCATACATATAACTGAGTGAAAAGGGAATTTGCCCGCTTAGTTCGCAGTTAAGGAAAAAAAATAATAATAATAATAAATAGTTCAATCAGATGCTTAGCTCCGTCTATCGACCTTCGCGGAGCCGTTACGTAATCGTCTGTCTGCAGCAGCCGTCTCCAACACTTTCGCTTTGTAGATCCTTTACATATTAGTAAATGTATATCGGAAATTCTATTTGACATAATCGAAAGTTCAAGCTTACTTTTATAAAATTGCTCTAACAGTCTGCAAAAAATAATAAGCCGGATCCAATTCGAAGATTAAGGAACAACGCAATCTGCAATATTAACTGAATTAGATAATTTTAGCTTAGCTTATACCGTACGTTATACGTTACGTATAACGCACATGTGCACACGCATATTCATAGCCGTAAAAGTCTTACGCGCATGCGTCAACGGGACGCATGCGCAGAAAGTTTGTAGCTTTGAAGTCCGGATTATGGGTGTCCGAATTAACGACTTTTGACTGTAAAAACCTTACATTTAACAAGTACTTACAATGAATTAAAAATATTTAGTCATGGTATCGCGAGAGTCCGACCGCTCCCGATTTTCACCACCCGCATTTTACGCGCTGCACCCCCGCTAGGAATGACCCTGATCTGGAGACCTGAACAAAAGAAAAGACTTTATAAGGTATTTCTTCCGCCTTCGTGGTGTAATGGTCAGCACGCTCGGCGCGCATTCAAGAGGTCTGTAGTTCGAGTCCCTGCGAGGGATTGCTCATTTTTCATCTCTCCTGCTTCAAAATAACCCGAACTGAAAAAAGGTGGTGGATGATGGATGAGTGTCCATTACCAGGATTTGGTTAATGGGTTCCCTAATCTCCAGCCGCCCTTTAAAAGGAGGGTATATATAAGGTATTTCTCCTGCCTTCATGGAAAAAAAAAAAAAAAAAAAAAAAAAAAAAAAACTAATGTCTCCACAATTTAATTATTCGTAAAAGATCACTGAACTGTCCTCAGTAAGCGGAAATGCTTAACTATTTTATTAGGATACTAATCCATGAACTGAAAACAATAAACAATACCAAGTGGCTTCTTTTCAGGTGTTGAATAATTCTTGAACGAAGTAGCACTTATAAAAAGAGCAAGCTTTAATCAGTATATCAATGACAGAAGTTAATCTAAAGCAGTGCATTAATAACTGATGCTCACTTGTCGTTGAAAAGCATTGTTAGCTGTCAGATCTGAAACTAAATAATACTAGCAATAAAATTCACCCCCAATTTTTTTTTTAATGTTTTTCAAACTACAATAAACCACCATTTAAAAAAAGGTGAAACACTAATATGGAAAACCAGTTCTCTTTTCATGTCAACAGTGTATAAGATCACCGAACATTAAATACAGCCAAATACCGCTACAACAAACTTTAAGAGACCGAAAACTTGGTTCTCTCTATGGATCCGTGGCATGGGGGGAGGGGTGGGAAGAAAGATTATCTTAATTACAGTTATATTATTTTTTTATTCAGTTTAAGCATACATTAATAATTTTTAAATGATCAGCACTTAGCATGATGGGCATAATTCAGACACTTCCTTTGAAATACATATCTCCCTCTAAATATGCTTTCATAATTATGAAATGGTAACTGATCCCTTTGTGTAACTGTATATTGCCCTTATATGTAACTTTAACTGTATATTCCTAGAGATTAAACACCGATCATATTACCATTTGATGTTTTAACTAAAAAAAACAAAAAACAAAATTTTCATAGTTGGAATTCTAATGTTTTATGCACATACACTGGTGTGCAAAAATTAAGGACAAGACGGTTTTTTCAATATAACTTTGTACAAAAGCTTTCCAAATCAACACATTTAATACCGTAAGATCCCCAATACGTAAGGACATGAGTAATGTAAGCAACACTTACTAAAAGAGAAATCAGAGAGCTAAAAAGAAGCTTTATTGAAAAAGTAGCATGGAGCGCAATGCGACTGAAGGCCGAAACATCCATGATGGGTGTCCAGCAAGAAACATCCGGTCTTTAATAGGGAATATGATTTCCCCTGACTGCTAGGCAGGTTTCACAGCGTCTGCCCATGCTGAGAATGAGGGTGTCAATGATTTGTTGAGGCATTGCTGCCCATTCGTCTTGCAGCGCCAATCGAAGCTCCGGAATCGTTACTGGTGGTAAGGTACGAGCTGCCAAGTGTCTGCCTAGAAAATCCCATACATGCTCGATGGGATTGAGATCGGTGATCATGCCGGCCAATCCATACGTTCAATATCCTCACTCTCTAAGAGCTGTTCGGCAGCTACTGTGCGATGACATGGTGCATTGTCGTCCATGAAAAGGAACTGCGGACTCATAGCACCTCTAAAAAGACGCACATATGGAAGAAGAATCTCGTTACAATAACGGGTACAGTTGACTGAACCTGCATCGAAGATGTGAAGGTCTGTACGACTACCAAGCATGATGCCTCCCCAAACAAGAACACCGCCACCTCCATACCTGTCCCTTTCAATGATGTTCGAGAGATGATTGCGGCTTCCCTGCTCTCTCCAGATGAGTATGCGATGAGAATTGCTACTCAGACTGAATCTGCTCTCATCTGTAAAGAGTACTCGTCCCCATTCATTGCCTCTCTAATTCCGGTCTTCCCGGCACCACAGAGAACGCCTTCTCCGATGGGCAGGCGTTAGAGGTACACACCGTACAGGGCATCGTGCAAACAGACCACCACCGTGCAGTCTTCTGGCCCTGGTAAAACGCGATATCAGTCGTCCAGTCGCCTGTGTCGTGTGTCTAGCGATTTCTCCCGCTGTCTGCCGCCTGTTTCTTCTGGCCTGTAAGGCAATATAACGGTCATCTGCGGGTGGGGTTTCTCGTAGACGACCACTACTAAACCCCCTGATAGCTGTTCCTGTAGTTTGAAATTGTCTCCAAAGTCGTGAAACGATGCTGTGAGCAATTCCGAACTCTGCAGCCACACTTGTCACACTGCGGCCTTGCTCCAACTTCCCAATGATTCGACCTCGGGTAAAAGCATTCAGATGTCGTCTAACAGATTGATTATTCGCCATTTCTCGCTGAGGCAGCAACTCGGTGGTATTTTAAATGCTATACGGTGTGCAATCTCTTTGCCAGAAATACTGATCTTACACCGACAACATGCTTTATACAACTCAGACACTCCCCCATTACGTCTACCTGCATATCTGCGCATGTGCTACCGTACATCACCATACTTAATTGGTCTTTCTGTCCGCTCTGCCTCTTCGTTCAGCTGATATGCTAATTTTTCGACTTAATTTTTGCACACCAGTGTAGATGGTGGAAGGTGACCATAAAGGCTCATAACCACTGAAACAAGTGGAATCTGAGAATAAATCCTGATAGATGAAAAGTTTTGCTTTCCTTTCTGGATTATATAGAGATACATTAACCCCATGAATTCTAAAGAAGATTCAGTTGTATTTTGTTTCAAGTGAGGATTCGAAAGAGAATATCCTTTAGACCACAGTATTATTAGTTCAGGTTATGAGACAAACTAAGGCAAACACAACAAAAGATATATTTGCATATTTATTAATTATTAAAAAGTCTTTAAAGGCATGCTTTCCCTTCAGCAGATACCCTAGTGTGCTTTCTCATAATTAAAAAAATCAAGATCCAGTAGGAAAAAAACTGCATGTGATTTTCATGCAAGTATAATTTTAGTATGTAATAGGGGAAAAAAAAAAAAAAAAAAAAAAAAAAAAAAAAAGGCCAGGAGACAAAGCCAAATAAATTACCTTTTCGTTAAAGAAAACCAGTCTAAAATTTGGTTTATACAGAGCCAGTGTAGTAGACTTAGCAATGAAAGATAAGCATTGATCACTGCAAGATCTCAATCAACTAAATTAATATCTTTTCCAATTGCTAAAAGGAATCCGAAGAATATTTTTTCAAAAGATGAAACAACTGAAATACCATATAGCATTTATTTTAATGCAACAGCTGCAGCAAAAAGGTGCAACACATGTTTATAGCAATTTTGGAGAATTTTTTGATCATAATTGTACAATAAAAAAAAATGTTTAGTTTAAAACATCAAAGCCTTTAATGTTGTCCACAGTACATTATTAACCACAATTTTCAACATAAAGCCAAGCAAGTTTGAGGTAACTTGACAAACAGAAATGATGGTTAAGATATCAATGAATAGACGATATTTTTTCGCTATCTTCCGCCACATTCTAATCATTGTTTTATCACACAGCTCTACTAAATGAAATGTTATCACTATTAAGCAGCTTTAAGTTTTTCCTCTTCTCAATGTGGGTTCATTGCTCAGTTTTGATAAAGAAAAATGTTTCATTTTATGGGTACAAAAAAAAAAAAAAAAAAAAAAAAAAAGGTTTATTTTTTTGATTGTGCAATATCTGTCGAAATAATGCATGATAAATAAAACAAAATTTCCTAAATATTTCAGTAAATAAGCATTTGACCAGTCAATATAAAGCATGTAAACTAAGAAAAATAGCCAAAAAACTCACGATTTGCAGATTGATTCAACAACTATCAAAAATCTGATATTTGTGAAATAAATAAATAAAAAAACCTTACTAAATTTGCAAAAGTAACTGCATATATTCATGTTGCAATAAAATTACTGCTTTTATTATGAACAAAAGCATGAATAAAATTCATAACACTACTACTGAAAATCCTATGTAAAAAATAAATATAAAATGCAAATTTGTTTTCAGTATAAACTAAATGCTGCCTTCTTTACATTTTTTTTCTATAAGCAATTATTTTCCATTAGGAAAAAGAGCATTGTCATAACAGCATTGCTCAACAAGGAAGCATGCAGCCAGCTATTCTCAACACAAGTGAATATTATTGGCAAGCCGATGGCCATCCATCAACACATTATACTTACGAGATGCAGAGCATGGACTCTCAAAATGGGCATATTTAGCAGCTTTTTCCTCAGCAATTTATTGTATTATTTACTTATATATTTATAATGAGAAAATTCATAGCCAATTCAAATAAAAGAAAATTATTCTATTATAATATCTAGTTACTTTGTTATGGATATTTATAGAATCTCCTCTAATGCTAACTGCCAAGCTTGTTTCTATATGAATATTTTTAATCATTAAAAAATGTTGCTATGCCGGTTTCAAATTTGGGAAAATTGAAAAAGTATTATTAGCTTTTACCTTTCATAACTGTTCAACACTAACATTTAAAAATGAAGTATTTTAATCATATATATTTAATGTCTAGAAATAAATTAAACTCCTATAGTTATTCTATTTTCAATAGCTATGACAGCTAAAACTGCTGATTTATTTTATCAATTCCAGTATTTTTCTGTTTGTAGGAATGCTTTGAAAATATGAAAGCTACAGCTTTATAGAATAATTTATGTCTGAATTTACAGTTCATGAATAATTCTAAATACATTCGCTCTCTCTCTGAACACATTAACAAAATATCTATTATCATATTAACATGTTATGAAGCTAACTTATGTGATTAAAGCTGAATAATTTTCTTAAATAAAAATTTCCACTTGAATTTCAGTAATCGAGAATGTAAAGATATATTCACATGAGCTTGTAATTATTTGCAAGAACATATATATATTTAAAAACTATCCATTACAAATCTTTTCAAATTCTGAAATGTTGAATCCATGGTACATTGTATTTGGAATGGTATTTTGGGTAATCCATGGTACATGGTATTTTGGAAAAGCAAGATGTCAACCGATTACAAAAAATTACTAATAAAAAGTTTTATATGTTAAAAAATTACACATTGATTGCCCTCTTTAACATACTTTTACTTTATGAAAATGCTTTACAAGCAAGAACTGAACTAGAATAACAGACATCTACAATTATATTGGAAGAAACTCAAGGCAAAATCAAATAAAAGAATTAGGCAAAAAACACATTAAATCTTACGAAAAATTTCAATCATTTTCTAGGAATTAAAGTAATTCTTTTCATGTATGCACATACTTTATCAAGCAGCAATGACAATCTATTAAATACAATGAACTCATCATCACCTCTTAACATCATGTGCACAATCTCAAGATGATGTTCTTGGTGTTTGTTTCTTGAAGAAGAGGGATTGTAAACTAACCACCATTTCAAATATATGACTGAAATTTTTGCTTTAATTTTATGATTTGATGATAGTTACATTAAAGGAGTAACAGAATTAAAAGAATTAAGTGTTATTGAAATAGTCTTATAATTAAAGAAAAGCATCTGAAAGTGCTAAATGGGATCTTTCAAAATTTGATTTGTTATGCAGAATACTGAAAAATAACTTGAGACTTCAATAAGCTTCAATAAGACTCACATTTTATTAAAGTCACTAAATGGAAATGCCCAGAATTTTTAGTTCAAAGAAGCGTTGGCTAGTTTCAAAACAGTATTTTGCAGTGAATCACTAAAACATTGTACCACTTTTCACATTGTTGCTACCAAATTATTGCCCTGTATTATATTTAAAGAAATTAAATAATGAAGAATCTGCATAAATGTATGTACATTTTTCACATTGTGAAAAAACAATGGTATCTAGAGTAATCAAATATGAGACATCAGAAGCTCGAATTAGGAATTTGTTTTATTGCCTATTTTAATATTTTATAAAACTTTAATAAATTTTTAATTAATAAACTCAAAGATTTCAAAGCTAGCAATGGCAACGCTGGACCTGTGACAGTCTATTAGTGTTTCATGGTTTTAGCAACTCGGTTTGCCTCCAAAATGGATTTTTTAGAATACTTCGGTGCACACGAGATTTCTGAAAAGCTATCCTATATATATATAAAATAGAATATATATAACCTCAATTTTATTTTCATTTTACGAATGAAGTTTTTATATTACACATAAGGAGGTCCAAAAGTACTTACAATTTATTTCACATACATACCAAGCTTCTTAAGCATAAAGCTTAGTTATTCACGACAATCAACCACTAATGTTAATGCATTTCTTCAGGAGCCATGTGTACTGAAACATTTTTTAAGATGATACAGCTCAATGGAATATTTGAATTACAAACACATAGGTATCAATATGTTTTGAGTTTCTACCTCATTCTGCTAAGAGTTTATTTTTGCTATCAAGTCAACATTCTTACATATGGAAGAAATTTAAATATAACATGGTACTATCAATGCAATCCACGAACAGCTGGATAACCAAGGAAATATTTTCCCCAAGCTTCTATTACCTGATAAAATGGATCAAGGTTGGGCAATATTCCAATATGTGCTGAATATTTAAATTTTCAGACAGAAAAATTATTAAGGTATCTAAATTTGTTTTGAAGAATTGAATGGCCTTTTGGATTTCCCAACATATATATCAATTACTGTGAATTATTCCATGTTAAAGACTTTCAGCATGATTTTTCTATCATCAAAACAAGGAGCAGCAAATTATATTTAATATCATTAGTTTTGAAATGTATGCAACATCTGAACTTTTTCTCACAGTTTGAAAAATAAATATTTTAACTGCTGGCATTTTAGTTAATACTTAATTTCAATGAGATCTGCTATTAGTTTTCAGAAAACAACTTCATATGTATTACAATGAAGCCTATCTAAGACAACTCCATATCATTTTGGTTTTTTGTGCAAATGGCATCATCAAAGTGATCATATTTTATACTGATGTTTTATGTTCTCAAAAATACTGGTTAATACCTCTAAAGGTGATAATTAAAAAAGGAGTCCTTGTAGCTGGAAAACTTGCAGAAGTTATTTAATGGATATCTAGTAAAACCTCACTTACCCAAAATGTGAAGTAAATTTAGATGATCAGTAAATCCAAAAACAAGTCACTTCCAGTTTTTTAAACTAACTTTTATCATTACTTAAAAATAAATACATATTTTGTAATGTTAAAAATTGCATAGTTTATTTACAAGCAAAAATGACAAGTTGTAAAAACTTTGTTCTGAAAATGACCTCTAAGTGCTTACACTTCTCACACTGTTATATTAATTTAAATTAGCACTATTCTATAAGATTTCTCAGAGAGAATAAAAAACCAAAAACGGAAACATCAAAGTTGCTACACGCTACTTACTTGAATACCATCAATTTTTTTGAGCAATTATGGATGCACAAGAAATTATGCATTTGTAGCTTCTGTGATAGAAAACAAAAGGAATTTTAAAGTTTATTTCATTCTAAATGTACTCATAAATAGCATTATAGTTGGAATTTATTTATGCTATATAAATACTTCTATTTTTATGAAAACAGGCATAACCATAAATTCTCGGGAAAAAATTAAAGTGTCATTAAAAATTGCTTCATTATTTGAGACAGATAAACTATACTGTATATAGGTATTACAATTTCTACCACTATATGAAACAGTTTGTTTCCAAAATAATAAATATTGAATAGTCTTTTGTAATTATAAAAGCCATATAGAAAAGAGTTTGACATGAGACTATATTTAAGACACAATAACACGCCAAATAAATACTGATTCAGAAGTCAAACAACAAAAATCAGCGTTAATTCACAAAATTTCACAGGACTAGTTTCGATGGTTTTTACCGAACCATCATCTTCAGCTGCAAAAAACCGAAAATGAACAAGATAGGAAATAATGTTTAGATAAGATAAGAAAAGCCAGGACAAGAATAAGCAAGTGGCGCCATCTGTTGGCGAAACCAGAACTAAAACATAATTTCTTAAAGGCTGAAGGCAAATTTGGATTGGAATTAGGATCATTAACTAGAACAGAAAGATTTTTATGAATGTGAAATGCCTCTAGAAAATCCAGTTCTCCAATGGAAGATGTTTTTTGAATAATTTTGGCAGCAGAAAAATTGAAAGTGTGATTTTTCGGACCAACAATGTTGAGCAACAGAAGACTTCTGTGTTTCCTTTTTCTAACATATGCCTCATGTTCTTTGACGCGAAATTTTAAGGCTCTCTTAGTTTGGGCCAATGTAATTAAACCCAACACTGGCAAGGAATCCTATAAATACCCCAGGAATTCATATCCGGAATGGGCTCCTTGAGTATAGAAGTTGGAATTTTATTGATGGGAGAATAAACAACCCGAAAGTTAAATTTCTGCAAAATATGTGCAACTTTATAGCTAATTGATGGAAAGAAGGGAATGGACAACAGAATTTTTATAATCTCCTAAAATAAGAGTGTGGCTTTTTAGTGTGTTGAGATGAGAATTTTTTAACTGCTTGATTAATAATGTTGGGTGAAAAGCCCCTGTCAATAGCTATTGCTTTTAAATAATTTAGTTCTTCATCAAGGGCTAGTTTGGAGGAGCAAACTTGAAGAGCACGGAAAACATAGGAATAAAATGAAGCTAACTTTTGTTTAGTCGGATGACATGATTTAAAAGTGTGGCAAACCGATGAAGGTTTACGGTAAACCGTAGTACTGAAGTTGGATGTGTTACGTGTGACCAGAATGTCGAGAAACGGAAGAGAATTGCAAGTCTCAAGTTCAAAAGTGAATTGAATAGCAGGATCAATAGAATTCATTGTTGAAAGAACTTATTTAAATCATCTTTATTACCTTCAAACAGGGTAAAAGTATCGTCTAATAGCGGAACCATGCCGGGAAGTTTAAAGTTTCAAACAATTTTGATTCATATAATGCATGTAGATATCAGCCAGGATGGGACTGAGGGGGGCTTCCCATGGCTAATCCCTCAGTTTGCTTTGTAATATTTTTTTGGAAAACAAAAATGTTGTTTGTTTCAAACAGAGTTGAGTGAGAGAAAATCAGCTCATCAATTTCGATGCAAGAGAATGAAATTCGCGAAGTCTGGTTTCTAGACATCTTAATGCACCCTCCACTGGGACATTGGTGAATAATGATTTTACATCAAAAGAAAACCATGAGTAAATTACGAGGAGAAATGTTTTAACCTTTTTTACAAACTCTATTGAATTTTTTATGGTGTAAATGTTATTGTCTAATAGAGTGGAAAATCTAGAAACTAAATATTTAGCTAATGGATACGAGGCAGTACCTAAATTTGATACAATAGGGCGGAAAGGAATACCACTTTTATGAATTTTTGGGAAGAGCATATAATCTGGCACAATTCGCAACAGATGGGATAAGCGAATGTTTTAAGTTGCTTGAAATGATTTGCGAAGATTTGATCGCAGTTTTATTTTGGATAAGTCCGAAGGTGAAGGATCTTTAGGGATCGGATTATATGGTCCTTCGTTTAAGAGTTTAGTGACACCATCGATGTAAGTGTTCTTATCCATGACGAACTATCTGGCCACCTTGTCGGCCTTTGAAATGACAATATCCGGGTTAGAATGAATCTCTCGCATTGTAGCTCTTTCTCTCGCAGTTTTAGATTTGGTTTCAAAGGTTTATTATTGAATTTCACATTATGAGCGATAAGATGCCTAATCATTTCTTTCTGTGAATCTGAAAACTTTACTGAACTTGAAAGCTTTTTCGATAGGAGCCAAAATCTTTGGAATCGAGGGTTTACAGGTTTGTGAGAAGTTAAAATTATATTTTAGAATTCTCTCTTGTTCTTCTGAAAGACTAACATTAGAAATATTAACTATTGGCTTGATGTTTTACAATGGGAAGATTTTTTTTGAACTACTTGGACTGGAAGACTGTAAAAGAAGTTTTTCGAATTTAACTGCAAGGGTGTTTTTATGACGGTTTTTTTAACTGCATTCTCCGTTCTAGACCAAGACTTTAGTTCAAGGGCAGTGAATTTTGGATATGTTTTTAGCGAGTTCCAGATGAAGCTTATAGAGAGTTCATGTTCAATTTTGGACAATTGTTGACGTGTATCCCTTATCACGGACCGAAGTAAGGCAAGTTTGCAATTTAAACAGAATTCTTGAAACGCGACTCGAAGGTTTTCGCGAATTTCATTCTCTTGCATCGAAATTGATGAGCTGATTTCTCTCACTCAACTTCTGTTTGAAACAAACACATTTTGTTTCCAAAATAAATATTACAAGCAAACTGAGGGATTAGCCATGGGAAGCCCCCTCAGTCCCATCCCTGGCTGATATCTACATGCATTATTATGAATCAAAAAAATTGTTTGAAACTTTAAACTTTCCCGGCATGGTTCCGCTATGTAGACGATAATTTTACCCTGTTTGAAGGTAATAAAAGATGATTTAAATAGAGTTCTTTCAACAATGAATTCTATTGATCCTGCTATTCAGTTCACTTTTGAACTTGAAGACTTGCAATTCTCTTCCGTTTCTCGACATTCGGTCACACGTAACACATCCAACTTCAGTACTACAGTTTACGTAAACCTTCATCGGTTTGCCACACTTTAAATCATGTCATCCGACTAAACAAAAGTTGGCTTCATTTTATTCCTATGTTTTCCGTGCTCTTCAAGTTTGCTCCTCCAAACTAGCCCTTGATGAAGAACTAAATTATTTAAAAGCAATAGCTATTGACAGGGGGCTTTTCACCCAACATTATTAATCAAGCAGTTAAAAAAATTCTCATCTCAACACACTAAAAAGCCACACTCTTATTTAGGAGATTATAAAAATTCTGTTGGCATTCCCTTCTTTCCATCAATTAGCTATAAAGTTGCACCATATTTTGCAGAGAAATTTAACTTTCGGGTTGTTTTACTCTCCCATCAATAAAATTCCAACTTCTATACTCAAGGACCCCATTCCGGATATGAATTCCTGGGGTATTTATAGGATTCCTTGCCAGTGCGGTTTTAATTTACATTAGCCAAACTAAGAGAGCCTTAAAATTTCGCGTCAAAGAAACATGAGGCATATGTTAGAAAAAAAGGAAAAAACACAGAAGTCTTCTGTTGCTCAACATTGTTGGTCCGAAAATCACACTTTCAATTTTTCTGCTGCCAAAATTATTCAAAAAACATCTTCCATTGGAGAACTGGATTTTCTAGAGGCATTTCACATTTCATAAAAATCTTTCTGTTCTAGTTAAACGATCCTAATTCCAATCCAAATTTGCCTTCGGCTTTAGAGAAATTATGTTTTAGTTCTGGTTTCGCCAACAGATGGCACCACTTGCTATTCTTGTCCAGGCTTTCTATCTTATCTAAACATTATTTCCTATTCTTGTCATTTGCGGTTTTGCAGCTGAAGATGATGGTTCGGTAAAACCATCGAAACTAGTCCTGTGAAAATTTTGTGAATTAACGCTGATTTTTGTTGTTTGACTTCTGAATCATGAGACTACTAGGGCCATCCAGGAAGATTACGTTTCCGTCTGTGTCCGCGAGGGGCGGGGCTAGCGCGGCCATCTTGGGGTCAGAGCGTTGCGCAGCTCAGTCTGCATCTAGCCGTGCTAGTGAGAGGTTCGTGCTGTGCTCCGTTCAGATACTGTGACGGTTTGAAATGTCTGCGTTAATTGAAAATCCCGCGAGCTGCGCTCAGTAATAAGGTTTCTGACTGCAAAAAACTGTAAACCGATAGAAATCTATCGGCAGCTTCGTGAAGTGTATGGGGACAACATTAACTGAAGGTGGAGTGCGTCATGGGTCATAAGATTTCAAATGGCCGAACCAATGTTCACGACGAAGATCGAAGTGGGGGAGACCCAGCATAGTGACCGCCGAACTTCTCGAAAAAGCGATGCTAAAGTCCGTGATGAAAATCGAAATTTCACAATAACGGAACTTTCTTTGAGTTTTCCACAAATTTCGCGAAGTTGTTGCACGAAATCATCAGCGAAAAAGGTGGTTACACAAGTTGGCAAGATGGAATGCCGAAGAGGTAACGAAGTGGTTGAAGAGCAGGCGGCCGAATTTTTCGACGAGGAATTTCCAAGCTCGTACATCGCTACGATAAATGCCTTAATTTGTATGGTGACTATGTAGAAAAGTAATTGAGTGTGGCTTTCATCTGTATATAATAAAATTTGTTTCCTATACTTTGTTTATTTTTTTATTCCAAAACGTAATCTACTTTCTGGATAGCCCTCGTATATTTCATCAAATTTAAAAATAGGATAGAATCAAACTTAAGAAAGATTAATCTTTGCCCCCCCCTGCTTCCAGGACTGAAAAATGCTAAATTACATCAAAATTCACAGGAAGTAGTATAAATAAAAAAACATATGTATTAAAATCACATTCAGAAGCAAAATAAATCCAATAAAATATCATTTATTCTAGAATAATACTGCATAAAATGAGCAGAACAATGCCGTGCCAAAGTGCGAGCTCTTGAAAATTTACATAACTTTATTACACAAAAGAATACAATAACATGTATACTCTGTCTGCAATGTATATTACAAATAATTTTTACATAAATCAAGGTGATGCTGTTTTTTGGTATTTAATGGCACAGAAATATGAATGTATTTTAAAAATAAGAATCTCTTAAAGTAATAATAAAATGAAGACTGAGAACTAATAATCTTGGATATTATTATATGCATAACCCTACCAATGAAAATAGTGAGTCAACAGGCACAATTTGTTTTAAAATAACACATAAAATCTCTCGTAACGTGTATTCAGACATAATTAAGTACTTACAAAAGTTCTTTTGTCCAGATAGTGAAATAACCCACACTTACTAAAAGGTAATGTAATGTGACTAATACATGCACTTTGTAATAGGCCCTGTGATAAAAGGGTAACATTTCTAAGTACTTAAATAATGCTTTTAATACATAAAACAGGAAAACTAATGAATAAAAACATGCAGGAAACTGTACAGATCTCTTGGCACATGCTAATACACACTTGTACAACACGACTGTGCCTAGATTTAGCTGAATTATGTGCACTATGAAAAACATCTTTGGCCAGTATACAGTGTGTACAGGCAACATAAAATACATATTTTGAAACATTTTGATAGCAGTGACACAGAGTCAGAGTAGGAAATTAAAATAGGCTTATCTTCATATCTAACTATACATTTTGATAAAACAGTTCAGCTTTATTCAAAAAAGCAAGACAGAATACGCACACACACATAAAAACGTACTAAAACTCCTCTTGAATGATATTGCAAGCCATAAACTAATTCTCAATAGTAAGAAATATAGTCAGATTAGTTCATAAAAACACCAAAAATATTTTAAAACAGTTTATTGACATAACAGAACTTATATACGTAACAGGGAAAGGTCACTCTTGCAGTTCTAGAAGTATTTTCTGAACAAAACTGCAGAAAAAATCTTTGCATGTCAACAAACCAACACAATGGCATCACTAATTACATAAATTACAAAATTCCACTCAATTTTACAACGTGAAAGAAAAAAATTAATTTTTCTTCCATATTCTGAAAATATTCATGGAACTTCTGCAAGCGGATAATGCTAATTTGAGTAGATAATTGGCATAGTAGTGCATTTAATGATATTGGATGGATTACACAAAAATGCATGTATAATGTATGTATATATATATATATATATATAAGCATTAAAGTTTCTGGCAATATTTTTAAATAATCAATTTACTTTAAGTCTCTCATCGATATTTTCTGTGCGCATCTCGCATGTGCGAGGAGACACAGCTGAAATGCTTTACAATAATTATAAGCATGAAAATACAATTTTAAATTACAATTCTTTTTATTATTATTTTTGTTATTTTTTGGGTCTATGGCTTCACATACACACATTGTTCCAAACAATTCTCTACAGCAGTTCCATACATACTCAAAAACTTCGCCCTTCGACAATGGAGCACCAGAAAAGAAAATGCACCAAAATAATAACAATAATAATTTTTCGGAACATTAGTCAATCGGCAATAAAAACACGAAAAAGTCTCTTTATGTACAAAACTTGCCGAACTGTAAGTCGAAAACCCGAGTGAAGTTTTCGAGACAAGGACTACAAGACTGTAAGGTCAATTCACATACAGGTCACACTGGCATTTTGCTATGTCGTCAATCAATAACAATTATGAAAAAAAATGTCACGCCGAAGCAGTGGCAGAGCTGCACGGCTGTGGATCAGAACTGGCACCAGCCATGGGAATGGAGTTTGATGCTTCTGCTGCCATGCCACTCGCACCACAGTCCTCATTTCCCTCGTGGCTGCCAGTGGCAGAGCAAGGGCTATTACGCAAATAAGGAGGGATCAAAATAGAGTTCAGAGATGGCTGAATTTTCAGTTCTGAAAGAGAAAACATACATTTCAGCATCACACAATACAGTAAATCAGTTAATTAGTTTAAAATTCTTCCATTAATATTCAAAATATACAGTGTGTTTGTTTCATTAGGTAATTGTAACAACTTCTCAAATATCAATATTGTTCAAATGAAGAATGCATAATATATTCAGATTTTTGACTTCTTAAATTCTACATTAAGATTTAGAAACAGCTGGATTCAAAAATGTCAAAGCATATTATTAAACATAATTTCGTAGATTAAAAAAATCAGCCTCTGAGCAAATACAGTACCTTAGTTTTTCATTCGGGTTAACAAGGTACGGTCAAAAGTCGTTAATCCGGACTCGCCGGGACTTCGGCGATTCTGGTAAGATGGCATGCAGAAATTATAAAATTAAAAATATGAAACCATAATTTATGAAATAAAGAACAATAATGATCTAAAGGGAATCAAAATTTACAAAAAAAAAAAAAAAAAACTTAATATTTGTTTACTTTATTAAACATTTCTTTCAAAGTAAGTTGCTTCGTTTATGTGATAATACTTTCTCTTTAAGTCTATAAAACAGACATAATTTCTTGTTCAGTTACAAAGTTCGCTGTTCAAGTTCTGTAATTGCTGCGGAGATACCAACTAAATTGGAATCAAATTTTTTTTTTCACTAACCTCTCTGTCATTTTCATGCCTTTATCCATTTTTTGCAGCAATTCCACTTTTGTTGATGGACAATCGAAATGCTTCGTGTAGATCATTTGACGGAAAGAATCGGAAACAAAGTTGAGCTGTTCAGTCCGGTAATGTCGAGAATACGACTATTTGTCGATCGAAATTTTTTTGTTTCCAATAACCTCTGTGTCACTTTCTTAACGATCGGAAGCGAATTATAATGACGAGGAATTTGATTTAAATCATATCAAAGATGGAGTATATTGAGATGAAATACTACATTTAGTAAGGAATTATAAGCCAAATAAAATAAAAACATCTGCCCTGAAGATAAAAATAGTGCTGACAGATCAACTTCCAATTCATTGTGTGCCGTGGCAAATTATCATATTCTTTGCTGCTATGCACAAAAGAAACCATTTGTACTCAATGAATAGAGAAATATGAAAGCAGCTTTTTTTGGCATCATATATATGTATTTCTAATAGAATTATTAAACTGGTACAGATACATGTTCACAATAAATCTGCATATGGCAGACAAGTACCAGGGTCAGGCAGCCTTTATGGCATTATTATAGAAAATTCATATGCTATAGCTTGCTACTCCTTTATTACCTTTAAGTGCCTTTTTGCATGTCAAAGAATTGGGTTTATCTTTTTTTCTTTTTCCTCAAGCTCCTTTTTATAGTCCTCTAGCAACTCCTCCACCAAAAGTTCACCATTAATCTACAAACCAAACCAAGAGACAACACCGTAGATAAAAAAGTTCTAAAAGTATTAAAATCCTCAGAAGCTCTGTATGCGTTATAATATGGCCATAATTTTCTTCAAACTCACTTTGTGGTCCAGTAAGTTACTTACTGCCAATCTTTATTAATACAAGTTAAGCAACAAAAAGTATTAAAATTATATTTCATGAAATCCTTTGGCATTAATTCTGTAGCAGAGATTACCTCAAAAAAAAAACTCTGAAAACCATTTGTTGCTGACTTGAGCACTCAATATCTCATGAAATTCGTTATCTGGCACGTTTTTATTCAAAACATTTGTTCATGAACCAAACTGCTCGTGATGCAAGGCATTTTTGATCTCAGATTATATTGTACTGTAATATCACCAACAATTATTAAAATCAACATAGCAAAGGCATGAAAACTTGCTATTTCTTGAATAAATGAAACATGCAAAAAGTATTCACAATAAATTATCAAACATCAGCACTATTCCGATTCTCGCTTTCACACCCAATTTGCAGGGTGAAACCGGTTTGAGATGAATAGAACAACTCTCTCAAGAAGGGAAGAACCTTTATTTTTTGGTGCAAGGACCCCTTTATGCTCTCATAATAAAAGATGTACACATAACATCAGCTTGTGCCATCATGCTACAGGGATGAATTTGTCTCCGAATTCTTATGGGGGAAAATTTCTGAATGACCATCATGTTTTACCAATACCATCTCAGCCTTTGCTAGAACCATGTGTACGGTCTAGGCCCATGTCATGTAAAACACTTTAAAATTTGCAGCCTTTACAGAATATTTTATATATACAGATACTAACTATACTGTTCACCTAGGATGCAGAAAATGCTGGAAATAAGTCTGCAAATGCTAGAAGAGTATAATAAATCTACAAATCAGTCACTGATAAATATGGAGCTCTAGATGAAAACTTATTAATATTATTAGCATCTTTTACATTTCTTACTCAGTGTAAAAAATTGCGAAATTATAGTATCAAAAACAAACAAATTAAAAGATGTATAAAAATTTTATTTTGGGCAGATCTGAGCCCAGAAAATGAAGTACGCACACATAAACAATCCAATACACGAAAAGCATAAAAAAACATATGTAAATTTTAAAACCATACAGCTGGGTTAAAAATAGGTATTACTAAAATTTTCGAAATTATAAGCAATTAAAGAAGCTTAAAAATATAATAAAAATTTTCAATTTAAGTGGACCAAGTGCAAAAAAACACGTAAAACAGAAGCAATCCAATATATATATAAAAATTAAATGAAAATTTGATCAAAAAAGTATATTTCCTCATGCACCACAAAGTATTCAATGATACTTACAAAATGTAAGTAAAAAAGACACATCAACTTTAAATAATAAAATTAATTCGAACATCTTTCACTAAAAGAAACACACACATACAGAAAAATAATATACAAAGCAAATAATTTATAACATTCAAAATAAACATCGATAAAAGCATTGCAGGAAAAGAGGAGGTGGTTCAAAACAATTTGACCTGCTTAGTACCAAAAATGTTGTTAAACCTAAAATCTGCTAAGTAATGAATTTAGGTACAAGTTTTAAACTGATTAATATTAATTAGAAAACAATTCTATTATAATATTAAATCAGGTGTAGTAAAAATGAATAATTTGCAAAAGGGAAAAACCCTGAATTACCTGGATTATATATCTGAAAGAAAACCAATAGTAATAGTCATAAAATTAGTTCAAGTGAAGTCTTAGTTTTCTTTAGTTCAACAAACAGAATATCGTGCTTAGTCCAAAATAATCAAATTTTTAAAATTCAACAATGTTATTAAATTTTAAAGCTTTTTTTTTGCTTGTTTATAATTTTGATGATAGTTTTCTTTTTTAAAATTTTTTTTATCTGGCATGTACGCTTTCAAAATTGACAAATGTAATATCAGCAAATTTTGTTTTTTTGGGCTCTGTCTGGTGAAAATAATATTTAAAAAATAAAATATTATGCTTTTGATACTATAATTTTGTTATTATTCACACTGCTGACTTCGGCCTGTAGGGATTAGATCGATAAAGACATAGAGTAATTTGATTTTTTTCTGAGATTATTTTAAGCTTTAAACTATAGTTTTTGTTGGTTCAGAAACAGGCTAATTTATTTACTTTTTGGTTCTGGCATGTTTTGCCCCTTTTTTCTTGCAGTTAGTCACTGTGATTTTGGTTTTTGTATACGCTTCCTTCTGAAATGAATGTGGGCTGAATTTCAAACATCATTTTATTTTGCATTATATATGTATGTGTTTGTGTGTGTGTGTGATATTTTTAGATAAATTAAATTAAATTAAATTATAATCATATTTCTAAATAATGATTTGGTGATTCTTTAACCAAATTGTATCCCTGTTCCTATTTTTTCTTATAAATTATATTAACCTGTTGGCGCCCGACAAATCATCAAACCCATAAATCTATCATATCACATTAAGTCCTTACAGAAGGCTCTGATGAGAAGATAGCATCACCTCGTGCACTCACTGCACTTTGATGAGCACCATATCTATAAAATAGGGCTTCTCCTCGATGTACAGGAGGAACGCTTGGGAGATGGATGCTAAAATAAATATATCACTTTATATTTGAAATTTTGTCTCATTTCTGTTTCCTTAACTGCACAACACCAATAATGTACGAGAATCTACATTACATATATATAATTTAATATTAGAAAAGTTTTATATATCATTTCCAAGAAAAGAAATTTAATTAAAGCTAATTATTAGAAAAAATTAGTAAGTAACTTTAAGTATTATTTAATTGGTATTTAAAGCATTTAGATTTCTATATTTTAAAATTATTTAGAATTATCAAAAATTATTTAAAATCTGTATAGAAAAACTTTTTAACCATAAAAATTCTAAATATTAAAATTGAAATTTAAAGTACTGAAAAGGTAGCTATAGCTGATTAATTGACTTGTCAAGAGAAAGAAACCAATCTACTATCAATTACCAATAACCAAATTCAGCGAGAGTGTTTCGTCTTTTTTCCAAGTAAGGATCAAATCAGTTATTTTGCTAGAATAGATCATAAGCTACGAACAATACTAATTATTAGAAAGATATTAGTCTAATTAAGCCAAAATTTTTTGTTATAAACATAGTCTAAAATAAAAAAAAGTAAGCTATTCTTCTTAATTTAAGATATTCGTTAAGAAATGAATTAAAAGAGATTCTTATTTTAGAAAAAATATTCCCCGACAGTTTCAGAGTACTGTAAAAACAATAAAAAACAATCGATACATGCATAAAATAATATATACAAAAGAAGACATCAATAGAAAAACGTACAAATGAATACATTATTTTATATTAAAACATTTTTATAATCAAACTCAAAATCAAAAGTAAAAATGAAATTTATACTTTTTATATTAAAACATTAATTTCAAAATCAAAAGTAAAATTAATATATTCTTTTATATTAATACGTTAAATTAAAAGTAGTTTATGTATAAATTTTGGAATGCCAGGAAGAAAATTGAAATTAACTTACTTGTCTACAAAATTTAAAATGAAATGATTGTAAATGTATTCAGGGACTGAATGTAATAAAGTAATAAGGTGGCTATTACTTTTCAGTACTGCTCTAATAACACCAGAACAGATGATATGAAAAACGTAACATCTTAATATGTTTTGAAGTAATCCCCATCTGCGGTAATACACTTCTGTGCTCGGCTGTATAATTTGTGGAAGCAACTTTTAAAGTCATTTTTCGGAAGGCTCTTCAATGTCGACGTCATGCTCTTCTTGATGTTCCGCCACCACATTGCATTGCCAGCGAAGAGGTTTTTGGCCAAGCATGAGGTCGTGGAGCTGCATCATCTGCCATACCCTCCTGACTTGGCCCTCAGAGACTTTTTGTTTTCCAAACTCAAAACTGTGATCAAAGGAACACGTTTTGTGGATGTTGAAGACATCAAGAAGAACGTGACGTTGACATTGAAGAGCCTTCCAAAAGAAGACTTTAAAAGTTGTTTCCACAACTTATACAGCCAAGCACAGAAGTATTCCAACAGATGGGGATTACTTCGAAACATATTAAAAGGTTACGTTTTTCACATTATTTGTTCTAGTGTTATTAAAGCAGTCCTGGAAATTAATAGCCACACCTTGTATATATATAGAGAGAGAGAGAGAGAGATACATTATTAAAAATATGTATATCAAAATTCTAACTTAAATTTGCAACAGCCCCTTAACTTTTCATTTTAATTTGGGCATTTCCCTTTTCTGTTCTAAAACTAGCGATTGCTCTTAACAAATTTCTCTGAATAGCACTGTTTCTAGATTAATCCATATCATATGAATTTTACATAACAGTGTTAATATAAATGGTTTTGTGAACTAAACTCGTAACAATGAATAATAATTCTGGAGTGCTATCAATTAAGCAATAAAATGGTACTGAGACTGAAACTAACCAACTCTAAATTAAGACTGTATCCTCAACATGATGCACTTCGTTCCTGTTTCTTGGCCAGGCTGGATTGCTGGTCTTCTTCTTACTGCAAAGCTATCAACATGTAAATGCTTTGTAACAGGCAGGATAAGTGTGCAAAATTAAATGTGGCTGCAAATGTCAATTCAAATAAAAATGAGTATTTAAAATATGCCATGTCTGCATACTGCTACTATTTTGAACTTCCACATCTAATATCCACAATTCCCTTATTATCAGACACGTACATATATAAACTAACAAGCATATAAAACTAAGTACTTGGCTGCTTTATCATAATGTATGTATAGCAAAATTAAATTTTGAGGTCACATAATTTTACCGGTGCATAAATATATGCACAAAGTAATAATGTAATCAGTTATTTATAAATAATGATCAGCATATTATATTATTAAAAAGCAATTTTTTGTCCCCTTAATTTCGTGTTGCTTGAACGTGGACAGGGAAAAAAAATCTGTATTACACGAGTCTCAACCATCAAACCTACTTCAATAATAAATTGACTCAAATAGCACATGTGTATATGTCCTAGTCATGGTTGCAGTGATCAAATTTTACATGATAAATGTTTCAGAAAATGTATCTTACCTTGTTCAGTAAAGTTAAATAATGGGGGCAATTCTCTGTTGTTAGGTAACCTTGTACCAGGTTCACGCAGTTCATCAAAAAATTTGTGAGCACACGCTTGCAAAGGAGTTATGCGGGCCGAAGGAGTATATTCCAATAATCGAGAGACTAAGTCGATGGCTTCGGGAGAAGTGCGTGCTCTGAATACCTAAATTTACGAAATAAAATATTTTCATACCAGATTAATAACACATAATACATAATAATGAGAGAAAAAATGATAAATTCTCTAATACGTGGAGAGTGCCTCAACTTGTTAGAACCAAAGTTTGAATAAGCTATCAATATTTCAGAGATTTAGCTACTTGGCCATTATACTCCTCACTTTGACAATCAGTGAGTCTTCCTCGCATATATCAAAATACTTTTGCATTCAGTAAGAACAATTTAAGTATAGAAGACTTGTACCCAAAGAGGCCCACCAGCGGCCGAGCGGTAACGTCGCTGAACATTGGTAGTTTGGTCCGAGGTTTGAATCCCATGAACGGGCTGGCTGCATGGGTGCTTTTGTGGTTTTCCCCATGTGTAATGTGTATACGAGCCAGTTTTCTTTAAAAAGTCCTCCACAAATGCATCCCTCCCTTAAGGCAGATAGCCCTCGAGTGCTTTGCTGTAATCTAATAAACCAAACCAAAACCTTGTACCCAAAGAATACAAAAATAACTCCCCCCCCCAATATAGCACATAGTGAACAATTACAAACGTAACCCAGTCCATTAATCTATACAAGGCCGATGTGTCGTCTCTTCATTATGGAGGCACCTAATAGGTGGGCCACCATTGCCTTTTCTATGAAGGGACAGACAATTACATCCATGCCTTCTCCGGGATTCGAACCCAGGCCCTTTGACATCGCAGTCACCTTCCCTGACCACTATACCGACTGGGTGGCCAAAAATAACTAATACTGTCTAAAACAAATTAACATACAAAATGATACCTAAATTTTAATAAAGTTTCAAAAGTAATATTTCAGTGATATTCTTAATACATAGTACAGTAGATGCATCTTGATATAACTGCGGTTAATATTATTCGGATACTATGATCAGATTGCTGACATTCCTTTTGTTTGTATAAAATATACAGTCAAAAGTCGTTAATTCGGACACTCCATAATCCGGACCTCAAAGCTAAAAACTTTCTGCGCATGCACCGCGTTGGCACATGCGCACAGGCGTTTTGCGCGTGCGCGTAAGACCTTGACTACTGCCTAGCGTGTGCGCAAGTTCCAATATTTTCACCTGCGCGTTTAATGTATAACGGACGGCGTAAGCTAAAATGATCTAATTATCTATTTCAGTTAATGTTAATGATTGCGTTGTTCCTTAATCTTCGAATTGGATCCCGCTTATTATTTTTTGCAGACTGTAAGAGCAATTTTATAAAAGTAAACTTGAACTTTCGATTATGTCAAATAGAATTCCGATCCTGGAACTTCAAAGGATCTACAAAACGAAAGTATGTTTCGATGTCCAACAAACAAAAAGTGGAATTACTGCAAAAAATGGATAAAGACATGAAGAATGTGACAGAGATGTTAGTGAAAACGAAAAAATTTCGATCGACAAGTTAGTCGGTATTCTCGGCACAGCAATTAACGAGACTTAACAGCGGAACTTTGTAACTGAACAAGAATTATGTCTTTTTATAGAATAAAGAGAAAGTATAATCACAAAAATGAAGCAACTTAAACAACTTACATTGAGAGAAATGTTTAATAAAGTAAACAATAAATATAAGCTTTTTTTTTTTTTTTTTTTTTGTAAATTTTTGATACCCTTTAGATCATAATTGTTCTTTATTTCATAAATTATGGTTTCAATATTTTCAATTTCAGAATTTCTGCATGCCATCTTACGAGATTTAAACTGATGATCTATAATCCGGAAAAATCGATAATCCGGAATCGCCGAAGTCCCGACGAGTCCGGATTAACGACTTTTGACTGTATTGCTTATTGTGTGATCAATAATTTGGCTAATATGATCAAAATATTATAGAAAAATTTTTTAAACTGAAGTAAAGTCACCAAATAAAGTCAAAATAAATTAAAAAAATTGCCAAGTGACAGAGAAATGTTGCAAAATCAGTCACCAAACAACTTACTCTAACTTATCTCTTCTTCAAGAACAAAATAATAATAATAAATAATAATAATAAAACTTCAGAATTTTTTTATCCTTGAAAATATCTACAATGTTGCCTTTTTGATGAATTTAAAATTTTATACGGGCATGTTCTCTTCCAATGAGAGATGTCGTGCAAATATTAGGGATATAACATCAGTCAAATAATTTCCAAAAATGTTACGAACAATTCACATATATTTTGCATTAAAGACAATGTGAAAAGTTCATAAACATGCTTTTTCTAGTTAAAAGGCTGGAAAGTACCTATTTATTTATATGTTACTACTCATTTTATATTAATTACACTCCACTGCTATTTTGAAGGATATTTTTTCTCATTGCTTAATGTTATCAAAATCGCCATAAACAAACATGATAATATTAAGCAGCATCTATTATTTTGCAGTTAGCATACAAATGTATAAACTACAAGATTCTTCCACTAAATTTAATTATTCACCATATGATCATTAAATAATAATAATAAATACCATATTTATAAACACATTCCCCCTTTTCTATCAATTTTATCACTTGAAAACATTTCATGAATATTCTTTTTAATTAAAATATTTTTCTATTTGTGCATACATTTTTACATTGTTCAAATAAATTAGAAGTCTTGGTTGGTTGGTGGATTTTCTGAGATGTAATCTTAAAAATTAAACTGCCAAATATGTGATCAAATTTCTCCATCCTGTGGAACAACAGAATAAAATTTTAAAACCATCTAAAATAATTCGGAGGAGAATCCTTTAATGTTATGATAGAAAACTGAATCAGATCAAAATTATAAAATACTTAAGAACCTGACTAATACTGATAAATGCTATTATAAAGAGATGCATGTAATTACAAGACGAATACAAAACCAGATAAAATCTCATATATCAAGTATGTTAATATATATTTAACTATTTTAAAACACGTTCTAAATAAATATAAAAACCAGTAAGTAAATGATCCAGAGTTATCAGATAATTATTAAAATAGTTCACATTTCTGTTAAAACAAGGGCATTGCACTAAAATACGGTGCACCACAAGAATAGAATTACACTTACAATAAATAAGCTTACTCTTAGCTTTTAATAATAATAGTAAGTTTAATAGAAGGTAGTTTTTTTTTTTTTTTTTTTTAAAGGTAATAGATAGTTTTAGATATGCAATTCAAGATTAGCCAGTTCCAAAAAGAGTTACCAGATAGAGTGCGCAACAGTTTCTAAAGCTGCTTTTAAACAGATTTATTAAACTATTTTAGGAAGAAACCTTGGCAGGGGTATATAGCCTGACACCTAGTTGCTCTATAAAATGAGTTCCTACTTCATTTGGCATGGCTGCTAACAAGACACACATATGATACTGCATACTTATGTTTTTTCAGCCTTGGAATATCTGCTGCAGAAGTCAAAAAGAAATGACAAGTGTATGGGAAGAACAGCAAATACAAGTACTGTATGAGAATGGTTCAAGAAGGAAGTTTCAATTTGCAAGACATGCCAAGAGAAATGCACTCAAAGATGATCCGTGTCAAAGAACCAAGGAAATAGAAGCTTGGAGTTGCCATTTGACAATCATTAAATATCTGCAAGCACTTGGCAAGATCTAGAAAGCAGGCAAATGGATCCTTCACAAGCTTACAGAAGGCACTTTTGAGTCATCTGAACACTTGCTCGCATAAAAGCTGGCTTTCGCATATTCATTGATCTTGTTCCTTCAGATTATCATCTGCTTAAGTTCCTGCAGCCCACACGTCTAGGCCAGTGCTTTGCAAACATCAATAATTTCATTGCCTCTATAAGCCACAGTTCTTTGAGCAGGGAATACAAAAACTATCATGATTTATGGGCTAAAGTGATAGCATCAGGGTAATTACTAAGGTGAATGAGATTGTGTTTCATTGTTTAAAAATGTAATGTTCATTTTCAATTAAAAAAAATTGGAAACTTTTGCATACACCTAATAAAGGAATTTCTTTCTTCCAGTTTTTATTACCCTCTCAATATTTTATTCTAGGTTTTATGCTTCTCAGTTTTGAAGCTGTACAGCCCAGAGTCACTGCTATTCAGGATCTTCTGCTTGATGACAACGTCTATAACTCTGAAAGGAACAAGCTGAAAAGGAGACTTTGCTGCAATGTCTGCCAGCTAACTACTTTTATCAATAAATAATCTGATTCCCACAGCTGCTTTAGAGCTTCTCTCTAATTTTGAGGCTGTTTTCATGGCAGGGTTTAATGAATATTTTGGCTTTCCTCCATCCGATTACTGAACTTTTCTCTAATTTTGAGGCTTTTTCATGGCAGGGTTTAATGATGATTTTGGCTTTTCTCCATTCAATTACTGAGCGTGGATGCTCAACAAAGTATCTGACCAGAGGTATGCTATTTTCATTAATGAAATGGTTCACAGCGAACTTGATTGGGTTGGGGTAATGGCAAGTTTGCAACCAAATCTTTTAACTGCTTTACTTGACTATAGCAAAGCACTCAAGGGCTACCTGTCTCAGAGTACTTTGTAAGAGAAACAGGCTCTTACCAAATCTTTTAAACATGAAGCAGATGCACAGAGTAATCGAGTAGTAGGGAAAAGTTCTAATAATAACTTTACTTGTTCTTGATGTGTTTTCCCACAAAATCTGGACATTTTCAGTAATTTATAACATGTAATTATATTCAGTTTCATAAAACTTTAGTGCAGAACAGGAATCCTCAGCAAGTTTTAAGTAAAGGGAAAAAAGATGTGAATGGGATTATGGCGGAGTTGCTAGTTGGTTTGGGATAGATTGAAGTCTCAAGACAACTGCCATTTCTTAAATTAAAAGAGACTGAATGCTATTATTATCTTCTCTGATGATCTAAACCAGTGTTTCTCAACAGGATATACTCCAAGGACCGTTAAAATATTTCAGTACATTCTTGCAGACCATTAAGTTTAATAATTCGACCCATTGGCACAGTTTTTGGACAGATGGCTGGATATTTCACGGAGTGGCAAATATTTCTTGAGGACCGATGATGGTCCACCGATCGGCGGCTGAGAAACACTGATCTAAACGACATAGCTTTAAGTTCACTTTCTGAATGTTTCCAACAAGAGGATACAGATCCCTATGCCAAGCTGATGGCAGTTTATATTCTAACTAAAGCTCCACAGTCAGTTTTTATTTCTAAAGCTGATTTAAAAAAATTACTAAACAATTAAAATAAAATCTCTAAAGAGAGAGAAATAACATGATTTATATTCAGTTCTTTCCTGTTATTGGGATGCCATCTAGCACCAAAGATAAACATTGGCACAGAATCTAACTAGACTGCAACTCTAATAATAAGTGTAGCTTCATGAAAAGAATGATTATTTCACTAAAATCCAGAATAAACATAAAAGATAAATATAAATACATAAATACAAAATGGATTTTACCATAATTTATTTTCAGATTACATAGGAGGCATAAAACTGCCAATTTCATTTAAATATTGCTGAATATATTTGTGTCTTCCCATGCGATCGAGCCGTGTGAATTCGATGAGGGAGGAATCTAGATGATGTCAGCCAGTGCTGTGCTCGATGTTTATTTCATCATTTTGCACATGGCATCTCTTACATAACAGGATCAATGAAATTATATTTGTTGTTAACTTGCAGATGTTTCTGTTCCGCAGGTGTCAATTCATCCCCTTAAGCAACTGAAAAACTAGGAAAGAAAATTTTTGAACTGATATTCATTCTTTGTATTTATTTACACAATGACAGAATTAAATTTTTTTAAGATGTGATACAAACAGGCTGTAACATCTGACATTTTGGCACACAATTACGGAATTACGAACCTGCACCCTGTTAACGGAAAAGAATCTTTAAAGAACAGCAATCCTTGAAATCAGAAAATAAATCAGAGGAGTAAATTCTTTCACACTAAATAACATTTAGATCAACTAAAAAATCACATATATTGCAGAGTTTAAATAATCACAAAAAATAATAAGGAAGAAATCATATATTACCTTTTGCCAAGGGTGTGCTTTAATTTGAGGAAATCTGAATTCAGTATAATTCCTATTCATTTCCCTTATCTGTTCCTTAGTTGGAGTACCTAGTACTTTGATTATTTCAACTAACTGATCAACACCACTATCTCCAGGAAAAATAGGCTGACCTAACATCAGTTCGGCTAACACACATCCTGCTGACCATACATCTGGAATTTACATTATTATATAAAAATTCTTAAATTAGAAAATATAATCAATATAATATAATTTAATCAAAATATAGGTAACTCTTTTCAATTACTATTCCAAATCTTACACATTAATAATGAAAGCACATAAATAAATTAAATTGGAAATAAATGCTAACAGAATTATAATATTTTCCCCCCAAACCACAAATTAACATTTAATTTCTAATATCTTGGTAATCTCAGTAGAATAGTACGATATTTAATGACCATTACCCATAAACATGATTTTAAAATGGACAGCTTGACTAAAACTTAAGTTCCATTTAATTGACAGAAATAAGATTTTGCAGAAATATTTTAGCTACCTGATTAATGTTTTCACTTGAGAAATAAGTCCCACATCTCTTTTTGACTTATCTGCCACCGAATTCTTCTTTTCAAATGATGGACCAACTGTTCCTAACACACACACAAAAAGGCACCCCTTCAAAATATTTTGCTTTCGACAGTTTTCCCCGTATATAAAAACTAAATACTCCAAAAACTATAGTACATGCCCATTTGTGGAATACTGGGCATGTAAGCTTCTATTTTGTATGAGTATCCCAAACTTCAATAGATCACAATATGCTTGCTCCAGTGTTGGCATGCAGTTCCTTGCTGAATAGAAATAAAGAAGCTCCCCCTTTTTATTACTACATATTAGAGATGAGAAGTGGATATTATACAATGTTACAAAAAAAAAAAAATAAATAAATAAAAATAAAATAAAATAAAATAAAAAAAGATCATGAAATAAGCTAAAAGTCTTTTTTAGTAACATCGAGAGGGCTGCGTCTCCCCCAAAGTAATGTTTTGTGTATGGTAAGACTACAAAGGAACTGTATACTATGAATTTTCGACACAAAATCAGATAAATTCAGAGAAATAATATTCCCAAATGAAAGTTTTAAAAGTAAAATATCCATAACGAACCAGTCATCAAGATGTTGGCTTCCATCATGATGATGCTCAGCCCCGTTATTTTGATGAATGTCAGACAAACACTAATTGAATACAGCTGGGATGTTTCGTACTACCCTCCCCCCAATATTCACCAGAACTTGCTCCATTGGATTTTCATCGCTTCAGGTCATTTAAAAATTCCCTGGATGGCTTAGGCGTTTACTTTTCTGAAGTCTGTCAAACAGTACCTCAATAACTTCTTTACAAATAAACATGTCTTTTTTTAAAAAGAGTTTTTCAGGTGCCAGAGAGATGGTAAAAAGTCACAGAACAAAAGAGTGCTTATTTGATTCAATGAAATTTTCTTGTGCTTTTGTACTGTTTCATTTATATTTATCACCAATATGCAGAACTTTCCAAGTAACCCAATATATTTGTACGTTTATTTTAGCATCTCCAGATTCACAATAAATTTTTTCAGCAGTTTCAAGCAATCTGTTACATTTAAATTCAAATGTACAAATTTCTTTCTTTCTTTCTCTTTTTTTTTTAAATACATTCCTAAATGTTACAAAGTAGATGTCTTTTAGTTACATGTTTCACAATACTTTAAAACAAATATGTTCATAATATTATAAAAAGTAAGAAAATAATAGGTTTTTTGGTCATATGCATCTTTAAAACTTTTGCTGTTGGTCACGAGAGCTCGTGTTGATAGTTATTGCCCTGACACAGAAATAGATAGTAGCCATATGCCGACTTACTTTTTATAAGAAATATGATTTAAAAGACATAATAAAATCTTATATCACATTGACACCTAGGCTTTTAACAGAGGATTTTATGACTATGTACCAGCACATGACTGGCGCTTGAGGTAAAATTATTTCCCCGACGCCACATTATGTTCTGGTTATTTTTTATTTTGATTCCTTTAAAAATGAATTAAAATATGAAAAATAAGTAACAGTATTTTTGCTTGAAACTTATCTCACAAACAAATATATTTTTTACAAACAAATTTATCAGATGATAGTTACAATGATATTATTAAAAACTATGCATTTCAGAATGTTATTTGGGTACAATCTTTACATGAAACAAAACTTCGCTTTAATTCAAAACCATATACAACTAAATTCTAACCTTCATTTCACGCCAATAGGAGAATACGTACTCAAAATGTAATGCCGAATGAACTAGAGAATAAAGAATGAGGTGTGGCTTTTCCTGTGCCAGCAAATGACTGGGACCTGAGACATCATCCTACACCACTCATCAGGGCATGATTAACAGCGAACATGTTAATCTGCGAATGCTGCAAAAACAAGTAGAGCATTCTCGTTTTCTTCCTCTTATATATAAAAAAAAAAGTTTATAATGTCTTTGGAGATGAGAAAAGAGTTCTACTTAATATAAATATAAATGGTCCACAGCACATACACAGCAGCTATCTGTGGTTAATAATCCTTGCCATTGATTCCACACAATACTCGATCCTTTTCAAAAATGAAAAAACACAATGCATTCTGAGAGACAAATAGGTAAATGCATTGGTTACGATCCTTAAAATATAAGTATACAATATATTAAACACAACTTAAATTTAATGAAAAGTGAATTTTACAATTTCTCTCAACACATGTTCTGTTTTCAGTTAAGACATCTTATATCCTAGCACAATCTGAACTAAAATTTAATATATTGCCTGAAAATGGTATCTGAAATACAACAGACTGCATATTTTAAATATAAATTATTAATTATTTTCAATAAAATGAGTAGTCATATGCAAGTAATTTTATTCTGTAATTAAAAGAATAATTTTCTCCAAACATTTAAAAAAATATTATATTTCTCTTAAAACTGCTTTTGGTCTTGATTATCATTACCAAAAGAAAAATTCACTCCTGTATAAAAGAAATTAATTATTAATCTATAAACATGCACATTCTTTTCCTTTACAATCCAAATGATGAATGAATTTGCCAATGTGCCAAAAACATTAGCATAATAAAAAAATTCTTTTTTTGATATAAGTACCTTAAAATTATCCTGGTTTTACAGATAAAAAAATTCTCATATGTATTTCAATTAAAACTGGATATTATTTTTTTCCATACATATATAAATAATAAAGTAAAAACTTACCTATCATTGTTGTATAATCTGTGGCACCAAATATTAACTCCGGTGCTCGATAATATCGTGAACATATATAAGATACATTCGGTTCACCTTTCACAAGATGTTTTGCACTAGAAAATAAGAAATATGAAAATTATTAAAATTTTTTACCTCGAAACACTTTTCCATTAAAGCCATATTTTTAATTCCATACACACGCATTGCACTTACTTCCTTCCCCACACACTTGTCTCCTTACTAGACAAAATGGAATGATCGAGAAGTGCAAAATGAAAAATTCAATGATTTTTCAAAATCATCTAAAAATCTATTTTGTATGTGTGAGTGTGTGTGGGAAGAATACAGCATATATTATTTTTTCTCTTTTTGTGAATAAGCTTATGTCAGTTTTTACAATTTTGTAGTGTCCATTGATTTTATATTGGGAAGAGATAAAGAATTTGCACATGCCCTTTATAAGTAATTATTCCAGTTAAAGAAAGCTTTGGTTCACAAAACTCAACAGTTTGGTTCTTCATATCATCAATAAATAAATCAGAAGTAACCAAAGTAAAGCACAATCCAACAAAAGAGAAATTTGTGATGATATCCTTTTCAACCTGGCAGTAATGAAAACTTTATATCCATTTTCAGTGAGGAATTATGCCCAAACAAAAAAAGCGCCAAGCGGTATGGCTTTAACAGAAAAGTACCTAGAAAAAATATGTAAAACACATTAAAAAAAAAAAAAAAAAAAAAAGAGAGAGAGTAGGCAATTTAGTTTGAAATAAAAGAGGAAATACAGCTGTTAATAAATACTAGCAGTAAAATCTGTACTTATATATTATCACAATCACCTTGGTAGAAGACATTAAATTTTTAGAATGTGCTAAACTCTGGCAACCTTATATTAACTATTCTGCAGGCAACCATGCTCATAACAATCGGGCAATGTCACCATTTTCATATGCATTCTTCTGTTGTATTCCAAATTCTAATGATTTTTATAATTTTTTTTGCCTTAGATAGTGCCAAATTTGTTAAATTCTCCGATATGTTTTTAAGTGAAACAGATCATCACTGTATACATGAGAAGACCAGCATAAAAGAAATTACAGGATTTTGTGAAAAACGTAAGTGCTGTATTTTTTAATGATTGAATCTTTATCTAAAAAGTGAAATTTGTATTTTAAATTGCTAAAATGTGCTCTTCATAAGTTAACGATGTTTGCACACTTCAAATAAATGTTTGTGTGGGAATCATTTTTAAGCAAAAGTTGCAAAAATTTACAGCTTGCAATATACAAGTAATTTACCTATTGATGGGTAAAAAATCATCAATTTGTCACAAGATAGATGTGCTAATATCTAAGTACCCCAAATCAGTAATTTAAAGCATTAACAAAGCATTCAGTATTTATAAAAATCACAGAAAAGAATGACATTAATCACTATTTTCACCTTTGAAATAGTTTTAATTTAAACTAATACATCAATGTATTAAATATGCATAACTTCAAATCTTTGCATTTGCAATAAGTTTTTTAAAGGCTAAATTTAGAACATTTCAAAAAATAAACACAACTTACCTTCCAAAATCACAAAGCTTTAAAACACCCGTTTCTGTATCCAGGAGGAGATTTTGTGGTTTTATGTCGCGATGACAAATTCCGAGAGAATGAATATAAGCTAAACTTCTAAATAACTGGTACATATATAGCTGAGGAGAAAATATAATCATTATATTCATTAAAACACAAAACTATTTCACAAAAGTATACCAAATTTAGCAAAAGAAAATAAAAATTACTGAAAAATGCTTAATATATGATACCTTGCTGCCAATAAAAATTTGACATTTATTTTATACAAGTATGGCAAATTTAGATAGTAAAAATAATAGAACATTAAAAAAAAAAGAAGCTTTTACTTAAAATGGCTATTATAAGTAATGCATTAAAAACAGAAAAATAATTTATCCTATAGTTAAATGGAAATAGATTAAATAATTCTATTTACATAATTCATCTACAATTTTATATTTGAATAACAAAAGTGTGGGGCACCAAAGGCAAATTAAAAAGGATTACGGGTTACGCATTTGATAATGCAATTAAATTAATAGATTTCGTTACTTAGGCTACCTCCACTTTTGCTTTTCACAATATGAAATTGTAGATAAACTCTGTAACTAGAATTATTCAATTTATTATTCCAGTTAAACTACATCATTAATTATTAGAGTACAAATTATACCCATTTTAAATAAAAGCTTATTGTATTAAAAAAAAAAAAAAAAAAAACCCCACTGCATTTAATCCTCCCCTTTTTTAGTCTCAGTTACACATAACCAATGATGTTAGTCATTATTAAAACACTAATAAATTATAAGAAAATTATGAAATAAACAAAAATAACAGAATGTCCTTCAGAGAAGGAAGAAATTCCTTTGAATATTCAATTTTGGAAATTGGATGTAATATCAATATTGCAATGAGCATTTTACTTGTAGCTACAATGAAAAAATATCACAAATTTGTCATTAAGTGTACCAAGATGGCAAATGTCATTACTAAATGTGCCAAGATGGCAAACTTCATCATTAAATGTGCTAAGACAGGAAACTAAACATGCTTTTTTCCATCTCCTTCAGAATGAAACACATTTTTAATAGAAATGTAGAAAATTGCTCAATTATCATTTTTGTTTTAAAAGAAGGCAAAACGTTTGTTTCATAATTTCTGAAAATTTCAACACATTATAATTGATAAATTTTAAAATCCTAAATGTCAAATAGTCTAAAAAACATGCAATTTTCAAAAATTTTGCAAAAAATTGAGAAATTAAGTTAAAATTTTCATACAAGTTTGATTGAAAAGATTTTCTGTCACATTCTATAGTGCAAGCTGCAAAATTTTGATATGTTTATTTTATTCATTGAATGAAGATATGTGCAAAAAATTGTTTAAACATTAAATTAATAAATACAAAATTTAAATCAAATTATAAAAATCGTTTCATTGTACTGCATTCTCATCGACAAACAGTGCATGTACAAAATTTGAGCTCGGTAACCTATCAGGTAGTAGGCTAAAAATAGATGACAAAATTCCACTCATAGTGAAATACCAATAGTGAATTAAATAAAATATAAAAAATAGCAACATTTATATATTTTCACAAAATGTATATCATGTAACAAACAAACACACAAATAACTGAAAATTATATGATTTCTTGCTGCAAATTTGACATAATACTTAAAAATAATTACATGTAATAATTTAATAAACTGAAGAACATTAAAAAGCAATTGTGAAAATGAGAAAAATATTGTAAATCTCACCTTAACATATGACATAGGTATAGTTTGTTTAGATTTGCTATAGTGTCTTGCAACTCTGTACACAGTTTCAGGTATAAATTCAAGAACCAAGTTTAAATACACCTCTTCTTTCTAAAAGAAAAACATATTTTTGAAACTAATATGAGTTTTATAGTTTTACAATTATTTTTACATTTTGTACATATAAAATATTCTATTCTTTAAATGTATTTCATTTATATATGTAAAACAAACATAAAATGCTATACAATTATAAATTTACATAAAGATTTAATGTAGAGACTTTCATTAGATTCTCTGAAATGTGAAAGAAAATAAATCCATCAAATTAAGTAAAAATGAAATTTTTCTTTACTCTTAATACGAAGCACTTTTTTAATTTTATAAATTCCTTATTTCAAGACTGAGAAGTTAGAAATATCATTTATTTTTTAAGGTTCTTTAAACTATTAACTTTATAAAATGGCTTAAATGAACTTATATAAAGGAGAGAGCCAGAGCTCTTGCACTGCTCTTGGAGAATTTGTTTTCAAAGTTTAAAGAGATGCTTTTAGTATTTTTACGTATACTTTTAAATCATCAACATCTAGCCCTAGATGAATTATTAGAGTACAAATTATACCCATTTTAAATAAAAGCTTATTGTATTAAATATATGCCTAAGTTTATATAAATTTTTTAGTTTCTGATTATCTGCACTCCTACTGAAAAGCCACAAACAGGTATTCATGAGGCAAAGTAATATGTTAACAGAAAGTGGAAACAGATCGCTGTGAACATAAGGAAATAACAGAAAAAATAAAATAATTTTTTTGAAGGTACAAAATTTATTACTGATGTTCCTTGCTTTTTTATTTTTTATTTTTATTTTATTGACTGCTTGGTCCTGTATGGAATTCTTAAGACAATGCCATTTTAGAAATGGCTTTTGGTTTCGTGCATTATTTTGGCAAAAATTACTCAGCAATGAGTTAATGCTTCCGGTGCAGGGTACAAATTATCAGAAAACACCATAAATTCAGAGTAGAAATATTAGAAAACTGACAACTCGCAAATCGCTGAGTTAAATAGAAGTCAGCCTTTATCAAAAGTTTTCAAATTACAAAACTACATGTCTATATCAACATCATAATCCATTCATCCCTTTCCGAGAAAATAAAATTCTGTAAAATTATGACTAATAATTTTGTTCCTTTAGTAATAAGCTACAATTATATAGATAGTACAAAAAATTATACACTACAAATAGATAGTACAAAAAATTTCTGCTTGATAAATAAGACATACTCCTCCTTGTGAGAGAGAACAATAGTTATTTGGATGGAATAATTAAGCATTAAACCACTAAAACTAAAAAGCAAAGGTTTCTATACTAGGAATGGTATATACACCTAATAAAAGTAAAGAAATTATTGTGGTAAAATTCTAACTACAAACATCAATTTCTCACATTAAAACATCTTTTTTAACAGATTAAGAATCATTTTACTGAATTTTTTTTGTAATACACACATGTACACTAAGTAAGAAAAAGTAGAAAGAGATTTAAAAATCATCACAGAATTATTTTTCAACTTTCCTTGAAATTACACACTTCAAAATGCTGATACTTTCAAGACATCTTCAAGAACAGATTAAGCAACACAGTTCAAATTTCAAAATGTAATTGGAAACACTTGTACCCCACATATTTAAAAACTACATCACAGCACAGCATATTAAATTTTATCATAGATTTTAATTGGCTTTCACGATTCATTATAATGCATCTTTTACATAATTAACTTGAATTGCTTTCTTGTTACAGGTAATTTTGCCAGGACATTAATACAATTTAAAAACACTTTCATGGTAACTTTTCAAAAACAAAGATGGTTTTTGAAAAAAAATTTTTAACCTAAAAAATCTACTGATACTGCATATTAAAAAAGTATACAGAATTGACTGATTGACAGATCTTTCCCATTACAGGACAACACAAACCAAGTAATGCAGCTAATATTAATCAAGCTATTAGTCATACTTTATTCTAGTCATGGTTATATGAATTCATGTACCAGAAACAACCCATTTGAACAGATTTTAGCTAACACTGCTACTTACTGATAACATTAAAATTTAATATGTTCATATCTCTGATAAGTGATTCAAATTAAGCACTGCAAATAAAAAGTTGTTAAAATATATCATTCTACTTTAGTTCTTTGTTTATTGTGATAACTAATCCAAGAGGCATATTTCTTATATTTAGTTAAATTTTAATACTACTATGCTACTTTACAATGGAAAAGCTTCTGATTTATTTATCATCTCAGAATTACTAAAAGGGAGAAGTTATGTTAACAGAAAAAGTTCTCATATTCTTTCTATAATTCTGAACTAACCTTTCATTAAGATTTCTTTCAATTTTCTTTCCCTATTTGTAAAAGTTCTGAAAAGTTTATCATCAATCCTGCATAAGACAAAACCTTTTAAAAACTGCTTTATTTTCAATACAGAAATGTATTAATATTTATCTTTAGAAATTCTGGACTTCTTTCAAAAGCAATAAGCCATATACTAATGTCACTATTTAGTTTTTAATTAGAGCAGCAACAAAATCAATAAATTAGACTTACTTTTTTATGACGCTTTAAAAAATATCAAATAATTTCTATGAAAGGGGGAGGGGAGATCGAACAACAAGAATATAAAATTTTTTTTGTTTCTACACTTTAAATTTTAACTTCATTATTGCTGGTATAATCAATATTTTCTTCAGAAAAATTTAAATTTCAAAAAACCTCTAAATGCACTTTAGTTTATATTTGTATTGACACAGAAATATGTTTCATAATTTATGAATATTACATGAAAATGATCACTTTGTAAACAAATTAATTATGCTTTTTTCTTACTTTTTCACCACCAGAATAGAAGAAATACTTCAATTTCACTATATTACAGTGGTTAAGTTTTCGCATAATCTGCAGTTCCCGATTCTGTAAAGGAAATTTTCCATTCAGATTAAATAGTTATTCATATTTATTAGCCATAAGATTGTGTAAAATTATATTCAAATTTGTTTGTAAAATTTATCAATTTACAAAAGTAAAACATTGCAATATTTAGTCTAAACACATTAATATTTCGACCTCAAATTACAAATGATTTAAACCTTTTATACAAAAGACATGCCTACTTTAAACCGTTTGTCCTGTAAAACTTTCTTGATAGCAACCAATTCTCCGGTTTCCACCAGACGAGCTTGATACACAACACCAAATGATCCATTTCCTATGACTTTAGTATCCGTATAACTGACTTCTAGAGGACGATCCGGCCCTTGTCCAGGTGTGGCAATGACAGTTGTCACTTTGCCACCGTCCTTGCCTATATATAATAAGGCCTTGTGAGAAATTTCATTTTTTTACATGCATCACTTTTTACTCATAAGCAACACATTTGAAAAGGATTTATTGCCAATTACTGAAGTATAAATTTAATTAGTAACAATAAGAGACTTTTATAAAAATAAAGAGTTTTTATCTACATATTTTAAGAGTTTTTTCTTTTTAGAAACTGAATTGTAAGCATTTGATCATTTGTATCACCATGAATTCTGCCTTCATGAAAATAAATTCAATAAATAATCTTTACCAACTCTTCTTTGAAAAAATAAACTGTTGGAAGGAAAGGAACTGGATTATGATGCAGCACATTAGAGCTCTTTGCCTAAGGAATAAAAATGTTTAATGACAAATTTTTTAAGAAAAATTGTCTCATATTCATATCAAAATGAGAAAACCTTTAAAACACCCAAGCAGCCAGCCTGTGAGCTAGGATTTGAATTTCGTTCGAACTACCAATTTATTATACCAAGTTAGCAATCTTATTGCTCAGCTGCTAGTGGACTGGGGGGGTGGAAGGAGATGATAATTATTCTATTTTCAAATAAGAATTTCATATACAAACAGTTAATTTGATTGTAAAATAACTGATTTATCAATGTAAGTTTAAAATCCCATAAAAATTTATTTAATTTGAAACTCTTATAGTTTATTCAGAATAAATTTCTAAAAGACTAGATATAAATAATGCAAGATACATTATTTCAAAATGACTTAATTCATAGTAAATTACACTGGACTGAATTTTAGATGTTTTTTCATCTAAAATGTACTTCAAAGAACTACAGTAAAGCATCACTTATCTGACAAATTATTGAGGGGAGACTGTCAGCAACAAAAACTGAAGGTTGTGAATTAATGCTTTTTTTGTTGCTCCCGATTCTACTGCATGGTGCGCCCAGCTATATGATGACTCCTTAATCTGTCATTCAGTGCAATGCAGGTTTATCATGCACGCAGATTGGTTTATCACCAGTTACTATTCATGCATATGTGTCTATACATACAGCATCTATCTGTCATTCAGTGCAATGCAGGTTTATCACTGTATGTAGATTGGTTTATCACCAGTTACTATTCATGCATATGTATCTATACATACAGCATCTAATTTAACAAAGATTAGTGTAGTGTTTAAAAGCTGAAATTAATGCAAGTAAGGAAGTATGGCATGAAAAGAAAGTTGTATCGATGGCATGAAAATTTTTCAGACTATCAAGACACTGGAAAAGGAACAGAAAATGCAGAAGGTAACTGATGACTTTGACATTGGATGGGTAACAAAGGACATAGGAGATTGAAACACGAAATGAATAGAAACAGAAAAAATGATACACATCAAGAGTTAGGGAGTGTACATTTAAAGAAAGAAAAATCATGAAAAAAATGTGTCTATGAAAAAGTGACTGGAGGTTTGTATGTTTGATTTACATAGTTCAGGGACAAAGCTGTGCTTTTTAAACTGCTAAAGGCATAACATTTTCGTAATGATTTCAACAAAGGTGACCCAGATTTCACAGCAAGTGTCAGTTAACTAGACCGATGGAAGAAATGCTATGGTATCCATCCAATTAAGTGTTTTGTGGTGAAGAACTATTATTGAATTTTGAAGAAATAGAAGCATTCATGAAAATACTTCAGGAATGAATTGAAATTGTAAGCCTACCAGATGATCAGATATTTAACTGTGATGTGTTAGGCCTTAATTACGAATGAAGCAGCACTCTCCCTGACTTTAAGTACAGCATGAAAGACTAACAATTTTAGCATGCAGTAATGCTATAGCAAACCTCAAAAAGGCTTTGTAATGACTGGAAAGTGCCAAAATCCTAGAATGTCTAAAAATGTTCTCCCTGGAAAAAATATTGTGTCGGATGAGCAGTTAAATTTTCAAATGAAAAGTCCTCATTAAACGACAACTCTTTAAAGAATTCATTCCTTCAACAGACAATTTTCTAAAAATGAAAATTATTTTACCTAGAATTGCTGTTGTGTTGCTAGATAATGCTCCAATGCGAAGGAGCTTCAAGAAGGTGACATTAAGGCACACTTTTTGCAATCCCCAATGTAACATCCCTATGACAAGACATTTTTGAAACAATAAAAAGGAACTATCGCAGGAAGCTACTGTTCACAGTGATAGAAGAAACTAAAGAAGAGCAAGACATGGTTAAAAAATTTAAATGCATCAATGTAAAAGAGTTGCTTACTGATCTTCATGGGCCTCGGCTGACATAAGGGCAGGAATCAAATCATGGAAGAAGCTGCTAGACGATGATGAAAGAATGAAAACTGAAAGCATAGATAAAACCAAAAAAAAATCTATTCTACTTTTAATACAATTTTGCAAGAAACTGAAAGTTGGATGAAAAATGATTCGTATGAAATAACTGATGAAAGTGTCACTCTTGTTTAATTACAATGAAAACAAATCAAGCACCAAATAGTAACCCTTGTAGAATTTCACATAATGAGTTAAGGCTCTAGAAACAGCAAGTAAATATATTCGCCAATAAGAAGAAGCTAGACATACTGATTGACATAACAATCCTGTAAAGATGGCAAGACTTGCCAAGGAAGAAAGGGCACTCATTTAGAAAGCAGACTACGATCAAAAATTTCTTTCACTCATCATAGGACTGAACTTTTGAAGTATAATGTACATACTATAACGAAAGACTGACAATTTTAGCATGCAGTAATATTACAGCAAAGTTCTAAATTTTAACTTCGGGCAATTCTGCTACTGAGAGTTCATTTTTTTCTGTCTTGTTGTAAAACATGATTATTAGATTAAAAGATTATTAGATTTTTAAAATTATAACACACTCTGACATTTAATAGGCTTTTATTTAACCCTTCTCTATTATCCAACATTCTGTTCGCCATTTTATATCGGACAGCTGACATTTTACTGTATACTCAACCAACATAGCATAACTTATCAAATAACATATTAAGGTACTTTATCATTCATATCTTAATCACGACTCTATGCCCCCTGATACGATCTTTGTGATTCTTAAATGCTGGTGCACAGTGTGGCCACACCAGCTTTGGTATCAACCCTGATTTTAATTAAAACATTTATTCAATTGAACATCCATATGCAGTGTTTAAGCCATAAATAATCACTTTCTTGTGAAATAATTGGTTCCTTATTAATTTAAATCATTTATTGAATTATGCAGTATTTAAACCATATAATTACTCAATTTATTTCCTTCTACAGACCTTGTGCAAAAGATATCCTTCCTTGTGAAAAATTTAATTCCTTGTATAGTCTTTTCAAAAATTTAGTCCTCTCATACATGGTTAAAGAAATTATCCAAACACATTATCAGCTGTACATAAATTAAGAAAATATACTGAAAGTAAATATCATTTGGCACCTTTATCAAAATAACTAATGGGTTATTAAAAGAAGTACAAAGTTAGACTTGTTTGGACGACTTCATTACAACAAAACATATACAGAATCTGCGTATAAGGAAGGGATGCTTTTGTGGAGAGGATTTCCTATCAGGAACTAACTCACATTTACATTATATATGAGGAAAGTCTCCAGAAAAAAAAAAAAAAAAAAAAAAAAAAAAAACTCTTAAAAGAAATTTAATGATTAAGGCTGAAAACTGAAAGAAATGACAATGTTACAAACTTTACAAGAAATACTTAAAGTTTAACATATTGATCAACTGGGTCACCTGCAACTGACATCTAGTTATTTTAATAGCGCTGTGGGAGTCATAGGTGACCAACAAAGTAGACTGATCTTTGTTCTATTGTTCAGCACTGCCAATCACACTCTATGTATTGAAGGATACATAATATATGCTCATTTGCAAAAGAATATGTGTAAAAAATAATTCATTAGCTACAAACGCGATTTCAATGATAAGAAAATATCAAGATCCAGCATGCATGGCTGGCAAGGTGAATATTAATATATATAGTAAAATTATTTTCATTAGCGCTTTACAGGCACTGGTTACTGTATATTTAAAAAAAAAGTCAAACTTCATTAAAACATGCACTAAAATGATAAAATACTAATTATGTTTATATATCATCAATGAATAAGCCTGAAAGACAAAGTAATTTTTCAACAAAATTATATAAAAATTTATGTGATCAATGCATTAAAAATTGCTAATTAAGTTGCTATACGCGTCTTGGGACTTGTATATATTAATAAAACTTACATTTAATCATTAATAAAAAGCATGCTTGAATTATTTTATAGAATTTAATTTAATATATGATGTAATGTAGTAGATGGTTTAATTCTATTTTTATTTGCATATTTTCGAAAAATCTGTATATTGCCATGATCTTTTTTGAATGTATTTTTACTTTGGTACATTTTGTGTTTATGGGTCTTTTTTTGTTAAAAAAAATCGTTCTTTATATTGGAGTAAAAAGCCATTGGAATAGCTGTAAAAAATCATTTTTACAAGCACTTTTAATAAGGACAAACGTTTAGAACATAAGTCAAAGAAGGAACTTTTGAATTACTTTTAAAATTTTCCGAAAACTTTAAAATAGGGAGCTGGGTCCTTCTCGCCACAAGCCCTTCAATTTCCTTTGATGAAAACACAAGATAGCTCTTTCTTTAAGAGAAATCTTTTACCTTTCTTTTCTCTCAATGCACCACTCTATTCTTAAGGCTCACTGGGCCTCTGGACTTCTGGCGACTGGCTTACAACTAACACGTTTTGACCAACAAATCAAAATGAGCCCCAGAGCCTTTCATGGTGATGAAAAAAGTTCAGGTGCCTTCACTCCATGTCATGTAGATGAAAATAAAAACTTGCCAGAATAGAAAATCACAGAAGAAAAAGCATGCCCAAACCAGCCATCTCTCTCATGAAGCAACTTTTTGCATTATAGCTTCTCTCTTTGGCAAGTGTAACTATTCTTCTATGTCTGCAAAATGAATAGGAATTTCAGTTGCTCATAGCCTAGCTGCTAATTTTTCATAAG